AGTCGGAAGCATCTCAGGTGATCAGCGCGAGCTTGGTTAGGGACACTCTACCTTCCACTCGGTGCGCCGTCTCGTGACACCGCCCGTGTCGAAACGATCAGGCAGTAGCCGGATGGAAACGTTGTGCTGACAGGGGGGCGCCCGGCGAACTCTGGACTTCGCGGCTGCCCGCGCGGGCGCCTGCTCACCTTGCCCTCCCCCTCCTCCCTTCCAGCCTCTGCGTCCTTCCCTCCGTGCCACAGGGCTCTCCTCGCGCCCGTCGGCGGTGCTGCTTCTCGGTTCCTCTGGCAAGCAGGCTTGGCCGTCCCCGCGTGCCGATCGGCGCTGCCCGCGCCCCTGCCCGCTGCGGGCTGCCTCCTCTGACCCGGCCCGCTGCCGCCGGGCCGCCCGAAGGCTTTCGCGGCGCCTGTGATGGGGTGGAGCGCGTCGGCGTCAACCAGCCGACTCGGTGGATGAATCTGCCTGGTCGATCCCGCTCGATGTCTCCTCCACTTCGACCAGTGAGTCCGCCCCTTGCCCCCGCAGGATGCACGTGTATACCACCACTGCGCCTTGCCAGGGTCATCCTAGGCCCCACAATGGTGTACAGATTGCCAGAGGCCGAACAGGAGAAAACAAACAAACACGAGACGAAGGGGTCTTCCCGTACCTCCTGGCGACACGAGGGGGTCTGGGTTTCTGGTTGGTCAGAAAACGATCGGGGCGTCTACTGCGCCTTCTGAGGGACTCTACCTGCGGCTTCTGGGCGTCGCCATGGTGGGATCTGGGGTGTTCGCTGCTCCTCTTGCTGCCAAGCGTCCATCTCCTGTCCCCTCTCCTCCCTTCCATAACCTTCCTGCGTCGAGCCGGCCGCAAGCTCGGATGCAGGCTTCCTCCCTGATGTGCAGAAGCATCATGCTCGGGTGCAGCAGCTCATGCTCGGAAGCATCATGATCATGTCGGAAGTGTCAAAAGAACATCTACATGCACGTTTGGAGTTCCATGCTAAATTTTCGGGCTGGTCGCTCTCCTGTTGCGCGAAGCGCGCTAGGGTCGGCGCCAGGGATCCGCGCGGGATCCCAAAGGTTCTCTGCGTATCCAGTTGTTGTTTTCTCCGACCCCTTCCTTCCCAGAGATCCGATGTCTTGATTTCTTCATTGCGGGGCCCCTGGAAGTCCCGGCCCTTCCACCAGGGCCGGATTCTGCTTTCGTCCCGGGGCCGTGTCTTGCGCAGCCACCAGCCACGGGGCCCGTGGGGGGCCGACAGCGGCGAGGAGCTCCCGCTCCGACGTCGTGATTTTTGTCAGTGCAGTGGAGACCCATGCCAAGAAACACCCTGCTTGCCTCCAGTGTGCCCTGGGTTTCTTTGGTTTCGATGGCTTTGCGATGGGATACGTGACGTTCCCACACCAAAAACCAAGGGACGTCCTGGGGTCTCAGGGTTGGGTTTCTTGTGGAAGGTTTCTTGTGGAAGGGCCCCCAGCGTATGCGGTCCCCGGAAGTTCCGAACCATGCCCCGAGACCAGCTTCGCATTCCGATTCGATCTGTGACGGTTCCAGGCCCGGCGCGGGCCGACCACGGTGAAACGCCTCCGCTTTGTTTTGCTCAATGCGTCCCCAGACCCCCGACGTCATGATTTTTTCATGACCCGACCCCCAGAGGTCCAGACCCATTCCCCGGGACCGGTTTTTCATCCCGAGCCGTTTTTTGACGCTCCCGAGGCCTGGTGAGGGCCCCCAAAGGCCGAAAATTGGGAAAAACCTCCCGTCGTGATTTTTTCATGACTCGAGGAGGTCTGGGTCTGCTCTCTGGGCACATCGGAGATCCAGGCCTCTCGAGCCCGACGTGCCGCGCGCCACGCCGGCATGGCCCGCCGGCACCGCGCCGGCGCCCCTGCCGTGACCGATGCGCCCGCGCCTGCGTGCGCTCGCGTGCGCTGTGTCGCTGCTGGAGGTCGCGGCGGGGGCAGGGGCGTGGTCGGGCGCGGCAGCCGGCTGCACGCATCGGTGGTTCAAGGAGGGGGTCCTAAGGGATGGGGTCCTCAGGACGAGGTGCCTCCAGCAGTGTCAGTCCATCCTTGGATCCCTCCCTATCCTGAAAGCCCAATCCCTCCGGACCCCATCTCTGAGCCACCTAACGCACAGGGTGGCCCTTGGCCCGAGTGACCTGTGGTGCGCGACTCTCGTCGGGGGCAACGCTAGGGGGTGTAGGCCGGGGGGCGGGGGGGGGGGAACGACCCCCAGTCGCCCTTTGATCATGTGGGCCCGATGGCGGGCCCCGCCCAGGAGCGTGCGGATTTGCTGTCGGGGGCCTGGCGCCGGAGTGCCGGCGAGGTGTCGCCGATTCCAGGTCATTGTTCCCCCCCCCCCCCCGAGCGAGTCCCCCCCCCCTTCCAGGTCAATGCTCCCGGGGCCAGTCCCCCTCTCCGAACGTTCCCCCTCACCTCGGGGTGAGCTGGGGGAGGGCGGCGACCCAGGCACGCAGGCCGCTGGCTGTCGCACTCGCGCGCAGCCATCGGCATGCCGCTCACCAGAGGTCGCTCGTGCCTGCAGGGTCACTCCGGCGCGTATCGCAGGTTGATAGACCTCCTACCCTGACACGTGGATTAGTGAATTGGCCGTGATCGGTTCGCGAGAGGGCGTCGCGGCCGCTATTGTTGCGGGTCCAGGTCCGTCGGTTTCGGTCTTGGGCCGTTTTCACTAGAGGGTGGTTTGCTAAAAGGGAGGTGTGTCCAACCCGAGTGCAGCCGGGCGAAGGCGGCAGGCCCGTGCGGCCCGGGAAGCAGGTTCGACCCAGCCCTCGCCGCGTGCACGGAGCCCAGCTGGGCGTCGCGCGCCCAAGGGGTCGTCGCCGTCGTCGTCGTCGTCGTCGTCGTCGTCGTCGTCGTCGTCGTCGTCGACATCGTGTCTGGAGCATCGTCGTCGCCGTCGTCGTCGTCGCCATCGCCATCGTCGACGTCGTGTCTGGAGCATTGTCGTCGTCGTCGTCGCCATCGCCATCGCCATCGTCGACGTCGTGTCTGGAGGTTCTCTTCGCCACGGCTGGCCCTGGCTCGAAGAGGTGCCCAGGATGAACCCTGGGGAGGGTGCCGGTTTGAGCGGAGTTCTGGCCAGGGCTCCGGGGGCCCGGCGGGGGGCGGCCTCCCACGAGGGGTCGGGGGCTTCTTGGGAGCCTTATTGAAGAAGAAGAAGGAGAAGGAGGAGAAGGAGAAGAAGGAGAAGGAGAAGAAGAAGAAGAACAAAAAGGCATAAACATAAGCTTTCGGCGCTCCGCGCGGTTTTCTTTGATCTGCGCTGGGCCCCCCTGGCGGCGCCGCCCTGGCGCGCTCCGCCCGCCAGGGGGGGGGGTCGAGGGCGGATCCAAGCAATCCGCGCGGAGCTCCAAAAGTTTATGCTTTTCTTATTCTATGGAAGCCCTCCAACCTCCGATCCGTTCTTCAGGATGAGACTCCTGAGAGGTTCAATGCAGCATCGGCGCTGGCATATCCGTGTTCGAAAGCTGGCCTAACCCCGTGCAATGCCGCTTGAGCCTCCTTGGTCCGGCTTGATCTGGTGTAGTCTTGGGCGGACCATCAGGGGCTACTCACTCAGCTCAATGGCTTTGCAATCGGGCCTAGCAGCGTGGCTATTGCTCGTTCTCGTGGAGACCTCCCACAACTTGTTTCCAGACCTTCTTGGAGGCCCCCCTCCTGTCTTCCTATACGACGCCGCCCACCTCCGCCCACCCCGTCTGGCGCGCCGCCCAGGAGTGCTTGGCCGGCACGCACGCCGCCAATGACTCGCAGCGGTGCCTGCCCTGCAGCCCCGGCCGCGCCGCGCCCAGCGCCGGCACTTCGCCGCCAGAATATGCCCACATCCACCGCTTCGAGGATCGCAAAAAAAAACACGGGATTGCAAAAAATCCCGAAGGATTGCAAAAAAACCCTTGGGTTTTTTTGCAATCCTTGGGTTTTTTGGCAATCCTTGGGTTTTTTTGCAATCCTTCGAGGAGTGATGGATATGGATACGATCGGTTCGCGTCGTGTCGAGCGGCGGCGACCCCGCCGTCGGCGTGCAGGCGTTCAACGTTGAACGCCGCTGGCCACCCAGAATCGGTCGATGCCGAACGATCTGAGGTGTCAAAAACGGCGGATCGTTCAAGGTTGAACGATCCCTGCGGTGTGAATAAATGACGCGGCGGCTCAGAAACGGTCGATGCTGAACGATCTGAGGTGTCAAAAACGGCGGATCGTTCAAGGTCGAACGATCCCTGCGGTGTCAATATAAATGACGCTGGGGTCGACCCGACACGAACCCGCGGTATCTGCCCGCCCGCGTGGGCGGGCAGGCATCCACGTCCACCGCTCCCCGAGCCCCTGGGACACGCCCCCGCGGGGACGCACGTGGTCACAGCCACTGGGGCCTTCGGTGGAGATCACTACGTGACCACAAAACGTATGAGGGGTGTGCCGAAATGGGTGGCGGGGACGCATGTGGTCACAGGCACCGGGGCATTCGGTGGCGCTGCCTACTGGGCCACGAAACGTGTGAG